TGCCCACCCTGCCCTCACCTGGGATGCTGATGGAAGCCAAAAGTGTCCCTTTAGCCTTGGGATGGATCAGCCCTTTCCCTAACCCAGCCAGGGCTTTGCAAGGCTGAATTGTTCCCTCAGATCTGCACTGCATTTCTCTGCAGAGGCAGATTTGTATTATAAATAGAAACTTTGCTCCCTCAGCCATCTGCTTTTCTTGTTAAAAACATTGTAGGAGTCAGGATCATCTCCAAGGTGATATCATTCTCATATTATCCTTAATTGTGGCATTAAAGCATGAATCGTGCAGGAAAAAGAATGGGGTTTAGGAGTGACTGTGTTATTTATACCACACTTGGCTCTCAAATGCTTTGTCATCCTGCAGCATGGAAGGCACACAGTAAAATATCCTTCTGGAGAAACCAAAGGACCCTCCAAATGAACTGGGATAAAAATAGAGTAACTTGCAGGGTTGTAGCTGCAATGCTCCCAATCACATCCTGACTGCAGCATCCCCTCCTCCTGCACATCTGTGAGATGAAAGCAGCAAAATCCCTTTAAAGTGTCTCTTCCAGGAGCACTGCAGCAGTGATGACAGGCAGGCCTGAGGCCATTTCAGTTTCCATAATTAGGATGTAAATCTTGTTTAGGCAGTGTCAAAACAAGCCAAAGTGTGGCTCTGGGAAAGCTGTGATGCTGCATCAATTATTCAGGGACTCTGTGTAGTAACACCCAGTTCCTTCTGTCTTTTCCAGCTTGTATCAGCTGTTGGGTATCTCCACTGCAGGAACATCCTTCACAGAGATATCAAGGATGAAAATATTGTCATTGCTGAAGATTTCACAATTAAATTAGTGGATTTTGGTTCAGCTGCCTACCTGGAACCTGGGAAATTATTTTATACCTTCTGTGGGACAATTGAATACTGCTCACCAGAAGTGCTGTCTGGCAAACCGTATGTCACCCTCTGAAAAGTCATTTTTGTGCCATCACACCAAAAATAACCCACGTGGGCAGGGCTGGAACAGAGAAGCCAAGCTGCTGTGCCATTGGAATGCTGCTAGAGCATCCCAGCACAGGAAATGCAGCGAGATTTAAGGCACTGCAAGTGGCAGAAATCACTGTGAAGGTCTGAGTGCACACAAAGCAGGGCACTCTAGTGACAGAAATCAAGTTGTAAAAGCTTGAATATGTACAAAGCAATTTCTAAATCTGTTGTAAGGCTCTCTCTAGCAAAAGCTGCTCTTTCAGAGAGGTGGAGCAAGCAGGTATTGCTGTTGATTGCACCTTCTCCTTGCTTTGTATCCTCCCACTCTCATCCTCTCTGTTCTCTTTTCTACGTGCTTCCCTCTATTTCAGTTCTTGCAGTTTGATCCCTGTTCATCTCCCCACAGATTTTTGTACTCCCTGGGACTCAAGGATTCTTCCCTTGCAGCTTCTTTTGCTGCTCTTTTGGATGTGCTGCCTAAATCTTGGTTCACTTCCCTCTTGTGTCCCTCTCCAAGTGCTCTGTACCTGGCAGCTGGTGCTCTCCTGGCTGCTCCACAAGGAAGCCTCCCCATCACAGGGGATTTTACAATTTCACAGTAATATTTTACAATTACTGCTGTAAGGGATGGATCTTGCTCCCCCTTCACAGCTCTTTCCATGGGTCCTCCTCCTAAAGCAGTGGGGGGAGAAGCAATGCAGGGATGAGAAGAAATTCCTGCTGGGAATGAGATGAAAGGTGAAACAAGCAGCTCTGCCCTGGGAGTTCCCCCTCTTACTGTGTGAAGGAACTGGCTGTTTTCTCAGATGGAATTGAGATAGTTAAGAGTTTTTTCCCAGTAACTTTTGTTTTGAAAGGGCTGGGAGGATGTGTTTGCTCTTGCAGTTAAATATTTACTTGACAGTTTTGGCTGATGATGAAGAAGGTGGAGGGGTAAGTTCTTGTCAGCAGCTTACGTATGTGGAAGGCTGGGTGCATGTTACACCTCACACTCATCAACAGAAACTGGTTGGCTGTTCTGTGCTTGGTTTTATTTCCTGGAGAAGGATAGTGCAGACTCCTCAAACACATGAGAACCTTCTTAGAATTCCCACAAACTTCCTATGTTAAAATAAAAATTGGAAGTAAGGGCCTTCAAGGCCCTTTTTTTCTCTTCACTTTCTTTAGCATACAGCTCTGTAGTTGCAATCTGAGTTGAAGCAAGCTTATCTCTGCACAGGTACCATGGCCCTGAGCTGGAGATGTGGTCACTTGGCATCACCCTTTACACCCTGGTGCTTGGGGAGAATCCCTTCTGTGAGCTGGAGGAGGCCTTGGCAGCTGTCCTGAGTCCTCCTTGCCCTGTGTCTGAAGGTGAGCTTGGCTTGGTTTGGACAGACAGGAGTCTGCTAAGGAAGGCAGGAGCCTCCCCTGAAAT